TATTTGGGCAGTAGAATAAAAGTCTTATAATGTTGTTGTGAACGTTCTTTACTAATTTGGTAATTTGTGGATTCTGTGATTTTTGTGTAAATTCCATATACTGCCGTTATGCCGCTGTATTTTCGTACGATTTCCGATTTTCTGAAATTGATGATTTGAATTGATATGCATACGAATGTGAATATATGATTGCTCTACGGTTATTGTTACTAAAAGACAAGTGAAGACTGGTTGAACCGTTGGTTGGAGATTAACTTGACCTGTACAGGATGGTGGGCCGACGGGCTTTCCTTTAAAAAGGGTTTGGTGTTATCCTCTATTGCATTGATATAACGATTGGGAGGCATAAGGAGATTCTTATGCCGACGGGCACAGAGTGACGACTCTTATTGAACCAACGGATAGATATAATTATGGATTTCTACAGCAGCACTATGGATTGAAAAACGCCTTAATAGCCAGTGATTGTACTTGTTCAGTAAGACTATTGTATTGAAGTGCATGTGTACGGTATTGACATGTTGATCTCATGATGAATTTATTGATTTATTGATTTTGAATGGATTTACGGACGGATTGTTACTGTACGGTTTCATTGATATTCGCATTATGTCATTGAGCATTGATACTGATACTGATATTGATATGGATATTGTATTGATTCAATGATGCTGTGGACATGGATACTACTGATTCATTGGTATTGATTCATTGACATTATCGCTTCATTGATACACCGTATTGAACTACTGCATGTGATCCATTGTTGATATGAGTTAGGTTTCACTGTATTGATTCGATTTCAACCATCCTTACCCTGTACTGGTTTTATATGATTGATTTCATACCGATCGATTTCATTGACCAGAGAGTATTGCTTTGCTTGATTCGATTTGATACGATTGATTTGACTGAGCGATTTGAGATTCTTCTGCATAAATTTTTCTACTGTTTATTGATTCTTCGATCGCTGACTATGGATTTTATCGATCGTGCATTGACTACTGATTTTTGTATCTGCTGCATAGATTCACTGATCATGTGCAACTGACTGTTATGGATTCGACTGATTGACATGCATATTGCTTCCGCCCCGTGCTTTGATTTCAGTTGTAGGCTTTGGTGACCTGCTGGGCTTTTTAAAGCTCATTATATGTTGTTAATAATTTCAGGTCAGAGCAAGGGAGCAGGAATGGTGGTTGATCAAGATTGTCAGACGAATCCTTTCACTATGGATGCTTGGGGCATTACAAAGTGGTATCAAAGCAAGTGTAGTGAAAGGATTTGATTGTTAGTTTGGTAGAATGGATTGTTTCAAGTGCATCATTTTGCATACATATTGAATGACATGTGATTTAATGAATTGTGTGATCTGTATGATTTTCGACGAGTTTTGATTTTGATTTGGATTTGGATGGATTTGTTTTGTCTCGATTTGCTTCGGACCCTTAGGGAAATGTCGGGACGACATTTTTCTAAGGTGGGGAGATTGTGAGAGCTCGTTTCTTTGATTTCCTTCTAGGATCGTCCGGGACGATGTTGAGATCGTCCAGGACGATCAGTGAAACAGCTGATTTTTTTTAGGTGGATCGTCCGGGCCGATTTGGGATCGTCCTGGGACAATCAGTGCATGACAAAAGTCAGTGAGTAAGGGTTTTTATCGTCCGAAAAAAATTAATTATCATCCTGAGATATCGTCCTGGATGATTGGATTTTGTTCATATCGTCCTGGACGATGTGGCGATCGGCCGGGCCGATCAGGTTTGTATTAAAAGGAAATCAGCTCGTTTTGAAGAGAGAGAAAATCATTTTTTTATATCAAAATATCTGAGGAGAGAGAAGGAGAAGGAAAGCAAAGGAAAAGCTGGATTTCGGAGGCCGCGGAGCGCTTTTCGTCCGTCGCCGTTGTTGGGAGAAGTGTTTATCTCGCAGTAAGGACTCCGAACCCTATTTTTGTTTTCGAAGATGTCGAGTTTTGATATTTCTGTGCTCAGATTTGTATTTTCGTTACCGAAAAATGCGCATCATTTTGTATTGATGAAAGTTTTACCGCACAACTTTTGGTATATTTCTGATATGGTATTTCTACACGATTTGATTATTTTCTAGAGATTTTTTACCTGATAGTTTTGATTTAGCGGTGTTTTATTTTGACTCTAAATTCTGGTGATGTATGAAATTGTTTGGGCAGTTGAATAAAAGTCTTATAATGTTGTTGTGAACGTTCTTTACTAATTTGGTAATTTGTGGATTCTGTGATTTTTGTGTAAATTTCGTATATTGTCGTTATGCAACTAAATTTTCGTACGATTTCCGATTTTCTGAAATTGATGATTTGAACTGATATGCATATGAATGTGAATATATGATTGCTCTACAGTTATTGTTACTGAAAGACAAGTGAAGACTGGTTGAAACGTTGGTTGGAGATTGACTTGACCTGTACAGGATGGTGGGCCGACGGGCTTTCCTTTAAAAAGGGTTTGGTGTTATCCTCTATTGCATTGATATAACGATTGGGAGGCATAAGGAGATTCTTATGCCGACGGGCACAGAGTGACGACTCTTATTGAACCAACGGATAGATATAATTATGGATTTCTACAACAACACTATGGATTCAAAAATGCCTTAATAGCCAGTGATTGTACTTGTTCAGTAAGACTATTGTATTGAAGTGCATGTATACGGTATTGACATGTTGATCTCGTGATGGATTTAATTATTTATTGATTTTGAATAGATTTACGGACGGATTTATTGTTACTGTAGGGTTTCATTGATATTCGCATTATGTCACTGAGCATTGATACTGATACTGGTACTGATATGGATATTGTATTGATTCATTGATGTTGTGGACATGGATACTACTGATTCATTGGTATTGATTCATTTACACTATCGCTTCATTGATACACCGTATTGAACTACTACATGTGATCCATTGCTGATATGGATTATGTTTCACTGTATTGATTCGATTTCAACCGTCCTTACCCTGTACTGGTTTTATATGATTGATTTTATGATTTCATACCGATCGATTTCATTGACCAGAGAGTATTTCTTTGCTTGATTCAATTTGATACGATTGATTTGACTGAGCGATTTGAGATTCTTCTGCAAAGATTTTTCTACTGTTTATTGATTCTCCTATCGCTGACTATGGATTTTATCGATCGTGCATTGACTACTGATTTTTGTATCCGCTGCATAGATTCACTTATCATGTGCAACTGACTGTTATGGATTCGACTGATTGACATGCATATTGCTTCCGCCATGTGCTTTGATTTTAGTTGTAGGCTTTGGTGACCTGCTGGGCTTTTTGAAGCTCATTATATGTGGTTAACAATTTTAGGTCAGAGCTAGGGAGCAGGAATGGTGGTTGATCAAGACTGTCAGACGAATCCTTTCACTATGGATGCCTTGGGCATTACAGGGTTCGCGTCCCTCTGTCGCTCGTTTGCTGGTTGAAATCGATATCTCTAAATCTCATCTGAATTCGGTGTGGTTAGGTCCGGAGAAGTGTGGGTATGTTCAAAAGGTGATTTTTGAAGATGTGCCTAGCTTTTGTCAGCATTGTAAGGTTGTTGGCCACAAAAAATTGGAATGCTCTAAATTATTTCCTTATTTAAGAACACCTGTGAATTCGGTTCTTCCTCAGGTGGATGTCGGGTTAAATCTAGATATTAATCCTCTTGAAACTGTTTTATCTCCATCCCCTAATCTTCTTTCTAATCCTCTTAATGCTGCTACTACGGAAAAGGGTGAGGTTTCTTTGAAACCTGGTGTTGGATGTGCTGAGGAGTTTATTGCTCCGTCCACTGATTCCCCTGTTTTGCTGGATGTTCCAATCGGGTTGGGGGTTGATGCCTTACCTGATATTGGTGTTGGTGTTGTTTCGAGCCCTGGGTGTGCTCCGGTTGAGCATGTTGTTCTGTCTGGTGATTTAGATTTACCTGTTGTGGATGTTAATACTGCTGTGTATGTGCCAGTGGAGAATTTAAGTGAAGTTTCTAAAAGCTCGAATCAATTCGTCAATGTTCCGGTGCATGCGGTTGAAATGATCAATTTGGTGAATTCTTTGAGTTGTGGTAGGTCGGATCAAAGGGATTAGCTAAATGGTTCTTCTTATGGTGATTTCATTTCTGACCAGTCGGATTTTGGTTTCATGTCTTCGGATTTTTGCGGGGGCTCTGACCCTGGGAATGATTTTTCTTTGGTTCGTGTTAATGTTAGTCATTTGAAGGTGTCTCGTGGTAGGGGCCGTGTCAGGGGCCGTCGAAGGCGTTGATGAATTGTTGTTTTGTGTTACTACTGCTATGCTTTTCGGTTTATGGCTTTCGATGTCCAGGGAATGATTTTTCCGTTTTGTTCTGGGGCTATGATGTGGCCGGGGCTCGTGCCCTATCTTTTTGCTGGCGACAACCTTTGGTGCATTTCTTTGTGGATCGTATACTGGACGCTTTTATCACCTTACTGGATGGCCCGTGCGAGCTGGTGGGGCACTAGGAGTCTCAGCCAAATACTGAGCCCAACTACAAACTATCGACTTCCTTCTATTAATGTATTTAATCTTTTTATTTTCTGTTTTGACTACTTTTGGTGTAACATCTCCTTTCATCAATAAAATGGTTTTGTTTAAAAAAATAATAATACTAAAATAAAATAAAAAATATATATATTACTCTTTAGAGCCTTATAGTGGGGAAATGAATGCCTTGAGAAAGCGATCCAAATTCCAAATTGTTATATAAATCGATTCTGAGAAATTATTACGTGTGGGGCGTGGAGTGTGGATGTAGAGTTGTGTCCTGACTCCAATCAAATATGAACACGTGGACAATATATAAAATTTATATTATTATACATTAACTATGTATTAATTTTATATTAACCATATATAAATACACAATCAATATATAACTAATACAAAATAATATTAATATATAATAATATAATTAGTCATATATACCGATTTGATTAGACGGAATCTCTCACTCTGAAAGACCTCAAGCCACGGCAAGCTCGTCGACGTCGAATCCCTCATCCTCCACCGAACCCTGCTGCAATGGACCGCCGACGTTCGTCGTCTCCTCGAGAGATTGGAACATGGAGATGACAAAGTTGTTCCACAATGACGTTTTCAGAAATTACATGTGCGGAGGCGAATGCTGGCAGCCCTTCACGGCTTGGTACACTTGTATACACAATGTTGTTGAACTCCACAACGGTAACTGGCATGACTGCACACACTTTGCTGGCGCTCTCAGGGACTGTGTCTTTGCAAACCTCCGTTACTATAAGCCCCTTATTACGTATATTTCGAACAAAGCCTGACCGTCCTCTTCTTGAATCTTTGATTTTTCTCCCTCTCTTCAAACATTTTGAGTATTTGGGAACTGCAAGCAGGCTTCTGCCATATGGATATCTGTAAGGCTTAGATTCTTGAATTCCATAACGATTTCTTTGGAAGCTTTCAAATAATTTCAACTAATGATTTCTTCTTCAACTCTGTGGCTTGATTCTACTCTTAAAAGTTTTTTTTTAACGATTTTAATTTCCTTGGAATCTGTAAGGCTTAGATTCTTGAATTTACGATGATTCAGGGGCGGATCCCAGGCCACGTGAGGGTGGGCAAATGCCCACCCTGAAAAAAAAAATTTATTTAACAGAGGGGCTTTTTGGGATTTTTGCCCCTCCTCAAAACAAATTGTTAAGCCCTAAACGAACGCTTTGCCCATCCCGCACGGCCGCACATCAGCTTGTTCGTAGGAGCGGCAGGAGGTCTTCGACACTCCGACTCGTCGCCTTCGCAGAAAATCTCCTCTCGTTCCGTCGTTCGCAGTCGCAGGTTCGAGAATCATTCACAAATCGCAAGGGTTGCCTCGGCTTCGCTAGTTCGCTGCCACAGCCTTCGCTAGTTCGCTGTTTCCCATCGCAAACCTCACAGTTTTTGGTTTGCCCGATTCGTAGCCCCTTTCTAAGTTTCCGGCATTATTGAAGGTAAAATCCAAGAAACTAGTTACTTCTTGCTCTATTTCTTGCTTGATGCTTCTCTTGTTTTCCTTATCTGCATATTGATTTTGTTTCCTTTTTTTTAATTTTCTGCATTTTGAAAAAGTTTTGATTTCAGTAGGTTAATTTAATTTCAATATGCAGATAATTTAATTTCAATAGGTTAATTTGATTTCAGTAGGTCTATTCTTATCATCTTTACTGAGCCATCTTCAAGCTTTGATTATGCGTTTGATGTTTAGTATTTTTACCAATTTTTATGGTTGTTAATCGAAGACGATATCAACCTACTTATTGTTTTTTGTATTTACATTTCAGTAGGTTAATTTAATTTTTATTATGCTTAGTTATTCGTTCATGGATCGATATTTGAAAAGGAAGGAACGTGTTGAGGTCGACATTGATAATCTCTCTATTGATCCTGGGCTTCGACCTTCTATATGGAATTATGATGTGAATGATAGGGATAGAATTCGGTGAGGATATTTGGTGAAAGGACCTTATCAGCCAAAAAATCATAACTTCCCCCAAACAACAATAGGAAATGTAGCTCGAAGGTTTAATTCTAAATGATTTGAAGAATATCCAAGCTGGCTAGAGTATAGTGTACTCAAAGATGCTGCATTTTGTTTATATTGTTACTTATTCAAACCTCAGGAGCAGACAAATATAACTCAGGGTGGTGGTGATTCTTTTGTTGGTGAAGGTTTTAAGAATTGGAAGAGGAAAGAAAAATTATTAGCTCATGTCGGGGAACATAATAGTGCTCACAACAAAGCAAGACAGAAAAGTGATTACAGAGTGTTCCTATTTTATGGCTCAGTGTTTTGATTAAAAAAAATATAGTTATATTAATATCGTCGATGAAGGTTTTTTTAGTACCAATAATTACCAGCGTTTAGTTTTCTTTTCTTGATTATGGCTTTACTTTTCTTTAAATACTATTGAAAATGAGCTAAGTACCAGCAATTTAGCTTTAGTTTCTTGTTAGCGAATGGAAGAAAATATATTTTGTTTAGCACTAAGGATTTAAGAGTTCTTTTCAATATGTTTGAAGAAATATTTCTTGTCAGCGAATGGAATAAAAATGTTTTTATCTGGGCGGTTAGGTTGGCTGAAAAAGAAATGGATTGTAAAAGTAATATAGAATATTTAAAATATTTTTGAGTTATTTGGATGAGTGTAAATTGTTTGGCTTGAAGTAAATAAAAGTAATGTAAAATATGACCAACGGCCGGCGATGCGCCCTACGGCTATTGGGGGCAGTGGCGGCGGCTGGCAGTGAACGATGGTGGAGGTGGCCGGTGACTAATGTTTTCAATAACGATGGTGGCAGGGGCTAGCAGTAGTGATGGTTAGTAGTGACGAGCTACGATGGCGACAACGGGCAACGATTGCTAGCAATGGCATCAAACAATGGCAGTGAACATGTACAAGCAATAAAATATCCGTGTATTTGAAAATCACTTAAATCTGAAGAATTTTAAATACAATAAAAATGAATTCCAAAAACCTCAATATTTTATATTAAAATTTGTTACTTCAAACCAATCATCAATATCATTTAAATCTTTATAATTGTAATGTTTTGCACTCCTTTAACTTCAAATCAAACAGCCTCATAATCAATTTTGTGCTCTCTCTCTCTCTCTATTTCTTTACTTTTATTATCTATCTTGTGAGTAGTAATATTAATATATCTATTTTGATATAATTTAAATATTAAAATGAAATATAAAAAATATTAAAAATTAGATATCAAATACATAAATGCATAAGAACTCAGTGCCCTAATTGTTGGGCTTGTATGACCTTTTAAAGCAATTTAAAAAAAAAATAAATCGATTGGCAAAAGGTTTGCACAAACTTGGGCAAATCTTCTTTGTTGTCTGGTTCGATTTTTCTCAACTTTATTAGCTCAATGATTATCAAATTGAATGAACTTGCGCATTACAATATTTAGCTTATTTTCATGAATACAATAACATATGCTTATATAAAGATAAATTAAATAAAGAATATAAGGGTATTGTTAAAGAGGATGATAAATGATACAAATATAATTTTGAAAAGAAAAAAAAAAAACTCATCAAAGATCCCCTTACATGTGGAAGCTGTCAAGCTCCACATTTTAGTATATACAAACAAGGTGTTATACCATTTCAAATCCATATGTTTTTCTAATTATACTCACTCCAAAGATATAAGTGAGTTGAGCCAAATTTGAGTCATGCTTAACTCGAGCCTTAGGCCGAATTACGAGCTCAAACTCAAGTTGAGCTCAAATGGCAAGCTTGAGCTTGACGGGTGGCAATGAAAGTGAGATCCTGAACCTGCTCGCAAGATCACGATAAATGATAGGAAGGTCAGGGAAGAACAAAATGGTGTGACAAGATCATGCTTAATGAAGAGATAAAGAAAATTTATAATTTTGATGATTTCAATACATAATTCTTTGGCAATCATGCTTAATGAAGAGACTATTTATTTATAGCATCCAAAACCTTATATATATATATATATATATATTGGAGCTATAATGGAAGGTGAAGGGGGAGGGGAAGGCATCCTATGCTTATTTTTTTACTTATAAAATTTTGACATCTCTTAAAAAGAGAATAGATTCTAAAAATTACTTATATGATTCGCTCCACCTTTGCATATGATGATATAACCATCTTATAGAAGTAATAATATATATTTTTTTATTTGCATGAAAAAAATGAAGTTTAAATTCATCATAAATTAAATTAAGGATGATTACAATGTTTTCATAAATAATTAATGACAATAACATTCATCTTTTTTTCAAATATTCATTGAATAACCAAAAATCTTTGTCAAAAAAATTCATAATTGTATCAGAGTTGCCTAATTTTTTAAGACTTTTTTTTTAAATTCATTAACAAATTAATTAAAATTTTAAGAAATTTCATATAAAACATATAGAACATAATTAAAATAAAATAAAAATAATCAAAATATTATATTTAATAAAAAATATATATTAAAACTAAAAAAAAAAAGTCATTTTGTAGAATTACATAATGTACTTAACTTTTGGTCTCATCTGATAAACATGGAAGTCTTCTCAGTAAACACGAGAGCTCTTAATGAAGGCTTCTAGAGTTCTGACAAAGTGCTTAAACCAAAAGAATAGATACTGAAGGGAACATAATGATTCTGTCATTGCCAATAAGATGAACAAATAGAAAAGCTAAGCAAAGCTTCCTCTAAGATTTTTCAGATCCGTCAACATAGAGCAATACATAACATCTCAACTTTTTATGTCCTTAAGGGCTTTAGTTGTCAAGCCAAACCCAAAAGGAAACAATGGATCATAATATCTATCCCCAACATTCATTGGCAACTGATCTACAGACTTAAACCAGGTTCTTGGAAGCTTGCCTGTGAATCCATAGTCTCCAAATAGCACATCAGCCACACCCTGGCCCTCAGATCCTGGCAACCAGGCAGCCACAAGGGCATCAATCACTTCAATATGAGGCTCCATCAAGACCGGTCGACCGGAGATGATGACCACGACGCACTTAACAGCTCTACATACATTATGGATGATGGTCGAACCAGGTTCTAAGATCGTCAGGTTGAGGCTGTCTCCGGCGGTCTCGCTGTATGGCGGTTCTCCGACGACAACAATGGCATAGGAGAACTTGCTGGTTTTTGCAAAGGTGAAGTCTGGATTCTCTGAGTAGGTTACTTTAGTAGAAGGATCAACGGCTAGTTTAATGGCATCAAGGATTGTAGTTCCTGCAATAGAATACAATCCCTTTATAATGTTTAGCCTAAGTATGAAAACCATCAATACAGGTTTGTCTTAGAATAAAATCATTTGTGAAAATCAAGTCATTATGTTGAATAGTTTATTACTCACCAACAGTAATTCTTCCACTAGCTCCTTGCCACTCAATTGTCCAACCACCACACTGGTAACCCAGGTTATCAGCATGGATTCCAGCAACTAAGATGTTCTGAGCTTTCTTAGGGAGGGGAAGAACCTGTTCATGGGCAGATTTCCCATTCTTCAGCAGCACAAGTGATTTCCTGACAGCTTCTCTGGCCAACTCTCTGTGCTCCTGTTGAATGGCAAAATAGGGGGAAAAATGATTTCTAAAACCAAACTTTGAATATTAAATTAAAAAATAAATCAATCTGCACTAAGGCTTCATTTGGGACGGCTTTTTCTTTCCTTTCTTGCTTTTGAAGCAGCTTTCTAATACGAGAAAAATAAAATTTGTTACATGAAAACTATTTTAAGAAGCAAGGAAAGAAAGCCGTCCAACGAAGCCTAAGTCTTTAGTTTTTGGGAGACCTTGGGAGGAGTTAACCTTTTTTCATAGTTGATTCAATCCAGCTAAGAAGCACAAAGGATTCTCAAAGAGAACCCATTGAGAATTCACACGAAGAATGCCTTCTGCAGCATTCATCTTATTCTGCCAGTGGCACACATTGTTGCTATTGACAAGAGTAGTTAGTCGCTGCTGAATGGAGTATAGTCAAAAGGAATCATGCACCTGCAAACATCTCGTGATGAATGAGGTAAGAGTATGAATCTAATTCAAGAACAATCCTCTAACAAGTAGTAATATAAACCTGTATTTAGTAGAAAAGATGACTGACTGTATCAATACCAGCATTGACTCCAGCTTGGATAGAGTAAGTGTAGTTTGCACCAGGAGGACTAGTTATCCTATCAATGCCTTGCCAATCTGAAATAACAAAACCCTACAAAAATTTTAGTAGTGCAACAGTTCGCTTAGGCTTTGTTTGGGGCGGCTTTTTTTATTGCTTCTTAAAGCAGCTTTTCTAGTACAAATATTATAATTTTTGTATTAGAAAGCTGCTTTAAGAAGCAGTAAAAATCGTCTCAAATGAAGCCTTAATAAAACAACAATTGAACATCAATTCTATCAAAGACATTTGTATATTGCTACCTTAAAATGAAGTGTGTTCTTCAGGAAGCCAGTAATCATATTTTTGATTAGCATGCTTTTCACCCCATTCCAGCTTGAGTAGGATACCATGATGGTGGAAACACCCTTGGCGAAATGGAGTTATAGTATGCGGGCATTGATGCTTAATAAGTCACGGCCGGCTGAGGATGGTATTTGTTGGCGTCCTGAATATTCGCGGGCCGGTAGGAGAAATATAGTTTAACGTCTTAGAGTTGTACGAAGATCCACGCACACCAATCAGATAAGTGAAGAGGAATGTAGCATTCATAAGTGAACACCAGAGTTTTACGTGGCAACCCCTGACAAAGGGGAAACCACGGGGCTGGCCCAGTTTTGAATGAATCCCACTAGTATTTGTAGTCGATTACAAATGAGGCCCTTCCTTAGAAGAAGGCCTTTTGGATTGATGTAGCCATGTACAATCATATAGATTGGCATTTACATGGTAAGAGTTACATATACAGGTTTGTTTGGCCTGAACAGACCGTAGTCGGCAGGGACCGTATCGGCAGGAGACGCTAGTCGGCCGGAGACCGTAGTCGGCCAGGAGACGCGTAAGTCGGCTGGAGACCGTAGTCGGCAGGAGACCGTAGTCGCAGGAGACCTTAGTCGGCCGGAGACCGTATCGTCCGGAGATCATAGTCCCGGCCGGAGACCGTATCGCCGGAGACCTTAGTCGGCCGGAGACGCGTAGTCGGCCGGAGACCGTAGTCGGCCGAGACTAGTAAGCCGGAGAACCGTTGTCTGGTGATGGAGGTCGGACGGACCGTTATTGGCGAGCAGTGGTCCAGAAGGACCGTAGGCGGTAGGAGATAAGATCAGGTGTTAGTCCCAGTGTACTTGGAAAGATCGGAATGTTGATGTACTGGCCTTGAGTTAGGACCGATCGGGTCTTTGGCAGGACGTAAGGACTGAACGTCGGCGCCTAAGCAGGACGTTGGGTCTTCAGCAAGACGTAGGGACTGAACGTTGTTCGGGCCTTAAAGCAGGCGTCGGCTTCAGCAGGGCGTAGGGACTGAACGTCGGGCCTTAAAGGTGGTGGTACCGGCGAGGTTCTGCGGTGCCCGGCGGTGGTCCGGCGAGGTTCTGCGATGATCAGCGTGGTCCGACGAGGTCCTGGCCGGTGGTCCGGCGCGAGGTTCCTGCGGTGGCCCGGCGGTGGTCCGGCGGCTGTCGAAGGAGGAGCTCCTTCCTTCTCTTCTCTTCTTTCTCTCTCTGCTTGGATTTCCTCTCCTGTGAAGAAATGAGGGCTCCTATTTATAGATTTCTGGAGTGGCATGGCCCGTAAATAGGCGTGAGATCAGGGGCGAATAGGGAGTGGGTTAAATGGACGGTCGATATTGATCTATGGCCGTGCAACCGTTCGTTGGCCATTTGGAGGCCTTAATGATGTCGGAATTTAGTGATCTTGGGCTCGTTGGATTCGTCTCGTGAGCCCGTTCGATTTTTTCAAGTATAGCTCGTAAAATCGGAGACGGCGTTTGGTACTACAATTGCGGTTTGACCTTCCAACAGCGCCTTTGAACCTTGAATTTCCGGACTCATTTGGGCTCGGATTGAATCGATCTTGTGTCGTTGGGTTCGTATTTCCGAGAATTGCTCAGTTTGACTTTGTAAGCTTGTTGAAATCGGTAGTTTCGGATGCTCCGGATTTAATTTTTTGAAGTCTCCAAACTAGCCTTTGCCTCTGAGATTCGTGCCTGATCAAGCTAATTTTGTGATGACGTATCAGTATTTGGTTTCTTCACTAATTCCTTTTGTGTCCCCCATCACCAACAAAGTGCTTGGCACAGGCTGCAACCTTGTCTCGATTAATCCAATCATTTCTCACATCAGTGCACATTGATGGCATCCACTGGCACATGTATTTATTTAAACTAATATTGAGCTGAAGATATGTCTCTATACGCTTAGATAAGCTAAAAACCAAAATGATGGCTATCTACTTGGTAGATCACAACAATGACAAGATTTGATCAAAAGGCAAGCTGGTCGAGTCCAAGGAATCACAAAGGCTAAATGTGTCTGCTAATGTCAAGTTGCGTTTTTAGCTTGTACTTAAGGTTCCGATCTTTCTTTATTTTGGAACAGATTATTCCGTGCACCGGAGGCTGCAGTCCAAAGGACGTAGACGTATCCTCGGCGGAACCTAGCAGAGGTCCACCCACCGCATTAGGGCCCACCCTTGCTTTGCCCAGTGAAGCAGGCCAAGCTCGTAGTAGAGGATTCGACACCCGGATAGGGGTTCCCAACCGTGCCCTACCATCCGACACCCTAAGCATACTAAGTTCCCAGCTCGAAATGCAAGTAGGCTTGAAGTTAAATATTAAACTGAGTAATATCATATTGAATTTCAAACTCAATGAAAGAATCTATTTCATTACATTGATTGCAAGCTGAGCTCAAATCAACACACTATAAAAGCCTTACTGATGAAACATTCACTTGCTGGCAGAGCCTGAAACAGATATCAAATAAAAGATTGATCAGGTTCCATGTGAATTCTCTTTAGGGAAGACTATCCCATCAATCTAAAAAAGAAAAGTGGTTGAATCAAAAAATGTATGGTAATGTGCTGATTGACCAAGATTCAAGAAACTATGAATGCCTATATGCGTGATGATTTATGTTATTTATTATCTGACCATTTGTGTATACTGCAAAGACTAGTTTAGCGAAAAAGATAGTAACAATTAAGAGTTTATTGATGATTCAATGACTTGAAGAAAGGGAAATTGATGAGTTAATATAACTATAAAGTGAGCTCAGGGTCACCCATGAAACCTTAGATCTTACTCTTCCAGAAACATAGGGAGTGCCTTTTCTATATTTTGCAGGGAAATCTCCTTGTAAACCAAGGTATTATTTCAGTCATCGCTTGGACAACTCTTGGCTGGTCTTCACTATATGCTTTCAAAACACCTACCACTAGGATTCTGCAGAACCTGATGCAGAGAGGATAGTATAAGTCAAAAAACTATTTCACTCTTGTAGAAAAACAATTTATGGTTGGTGGAGTAATTGCTTCTGCAAATCACATGGAGCAAATGTGTAAGGAATCCGCCAGTAGCGCCTGACTTCGAGGAGCAGTTGCAGCACCAATCCGATTCAACAAGGATCAGGATCCCTACTATAATAAGTCATGAACAGATATTTAAAACCAATAAAAAAAAATCTCATCAGAAGTTGATTAATTTTTAAGCCCAACTCCGATTTCATCAAACTTATAGTCAAATTGAGCGTTTCGGAAATATGAACTCCGATCTCAGCAAACTTATAGTCAATTTGACTCATAGACTACAGCATTTTTAGATTTGGTAATTCCGTCTGATGACCATTATGATTAAAATACTTCATTCTATAAGCAATAATATATATATAATTCATCATAAAATACAAAATAAAAAATCATTTAACTCAATTTCTCAAAATACCAAATAAGATGCGTGAATGAAAACTAATTTTGGAATTCCAACATGATTTGAAAATTATCGACTCGGAATGATAAGTTTTTTATTTGGCTGCAAATTAATTCTTTCAAATCGAAAATTAATTTTATTCATTATGTACATATATAAGTGTCATAAATTACGCATTATATATTTTAATATAAATTATCAGTTTTAGTTATATTTTGAGATGTGTTTTGACTGTTTGTGATTTAAAATAAAATGCTGGTAATAATTTTGGTCAACTAATGTTTACTTAGAAATTTATTATATCTAATGAATTAAAAAAATGAACTAATAAAAAAATTTATTAAACTGAAAAAATAGAACTTAAAAATATTTAATATTTATTTTGAGTTTTCTCAAAAATTTATATCGAGCCTATTCGTGATTATATCTAGTGAAAATTTTTTAAAACTATCAAACAGCTTCGTTCACAACATATCTAATGAGTATTTTTAAGCTTCAAATGTGCTCATTCAAGAATAAAAGATTATAATTAATATTTGTTCCGAGAATGAGTTGTTTGTGATTTTAGGCATATGCGAAAAAAAATATATTTAAATACTTTTAAAACATGATTATTTAAAATTTTTTTAAAACTCTATATAATTTTAATCGAGTTTAATTAGTCGAGCTCTATCGGAGGTTTTTAACGAAGCAACGATAAATGTTTCAATAACCATTAACGTTATTTCAGCTCGTTTGGTTTAGGTATCGAAGAATATTTAATAAAAAAAAAACGTTCAGCTCATTGTTTACTTTATCAAATAAAATTATGAACGATATCTTATCGATGCTGATAAGTGGCTCATTCATTTATTCCATAATATTCATGGTCACAATGTACTGCTCCCCTCATTATGGAAGAGTTTCGTACCAACTTATGCAAGGCTGCTTTTCTCAAAACATTTTTGGACAGGGCGGCCCAATCTCGGGCGAATTATTGGCCGTCCGGTCACGGATGTCCTGGATATCCAATCCAGTAACGCCATGTCACTCAAAATACACATTGGTCTCTTGTATTTTGCATAACACGGCGACATTTCAAAATTGATATCCAGACGAATACAACAACCGGACAAAAATAATTTGCCCGGCCCATTAATATGAAACTACTCCTCCGGCCCTTATAGTCTTATATAAATATACTAATGCAGGTATGACACTCGTCGCAAGCAGAACATCCGCCACTTTCTCCTTCGCAGTGCTTTTTCTGTCATCCATTTATACAAATCCGAACCTAACCCTAGTTTGGATTCCCCCGTCGGATTTCCTCTCTCTGGAAACCCCCAAAACCCCCCGCCACCGGTGCATCCCTCACCTCCACCACGGAACCCCTTCTCGTCAAAATTCCAGAATCTACCTCCGAAATGCCGACGATCCCCTGCCGTTTGCAATGGACCGCCTGCGATCTTCACCCCGAGAGAAATGCCAATGACCAGTTTGGCTAAATGCTTCATGAGGCATTCTTCCGTTACATGAGGAAAGGAAAGATGCAGGGACTGCTCCAAATGGTTGGTTTTGCTTGCCGTGCACCATGCTGTCTCTAACTCGAATCCTCGGACCCGAACGCTTCCATTAAACTTGCAAAGTGGAGGCCCGGATGGTCGGTATGAGCTCCTCTTCGCCTTCGCATGCAGGCGGTTTGGCAGTCAGCTCCTACGGTGAGTACGCTGGCTTAGAGGATTTCCAGGCTCATCGTTATCCAATGCGATCAGACGATGATGTGAAGTTATAAATATTTGTTCTTTTGGTTATCTTTTGAGTATTATGCTTGAGAATGAATCATATCATGTTTCTGGATTTTCGGAATGATTATATACTGATGGCGGAGATTAAAGATTTCAATGCCCGCTGTCATTAAAATCTAAAAATGGAAGCCACCATAGGAGTTTTTTTGTGCCGTCCACTCTTTTGTGGAATTCATGAGTGGAATTATTGTCATATTCACAGCCATCGATATGTTGAGGATGGACTTATATTCAAGTTTTTTTAAGGGTGGTCTTTTCAATTGAAACCTAATCCATTAGATTATTCTTGTTTGTGAATGAACACGATATCTGTTTCTCGAGACAATGATAAATGTAATTTTAGATTAGGCTGTGATTAATTGACAAATTGTATGCCTAACCTATATTGGTATCTGCTTATCTGCATAGAATGGTGGAGCATACTTGCTACAAAGGAACTTTCAGAAAGCGTCAAAGAGCTTTGAAGATGAACATGTATTAGTTCAGTCTGAGGTTAGTTTACATAATGTTATGCATATAAAATTTTTTTACGATGCTTGGTTCTATGATGTATTTTAATGGTGTAGGGCTACTTTGGTTTTATCTGAATTCGGATTTCATTTTTTGGCTTTAAAGATTATAATTCTTTCGTTGTTTAATATGCCTATGCCTGCTTTATCATCCTCGTATTTCTAATATTTTTCTAGTTCCAACTTGGCATTTATTTTGTAAGAGTAGCGCATTTGAGTTCTTGTCAATATTTTTGTTGGAGCCTCTTGTTTCATACTTCATCCTGCTTGGCAAAAAATAACCCTTTGCCATTTTTTTTATTGTTTTAAGTGGGCAAATTTCAGTATGAATCCCATGCTTTAACATTGCTTTTGTCAGCAAGATTTAAAACATTTCTCAACACGTTGGTGCAATTAAATATTAAAATTCCAGCAGGCATTTGTTGGCTGTGGCCTTATCTAATCGACATTTTTGTCGTTTTTCAAATTGTCACTAATCTCCTGCTTTGATTATTTCTTTCTGATTATTTTCTTCTCCTTCAGTAATTTAAAAACTTATTCTACTTTTGTTTGTTGTTCAAAAACCTTTTGGTAATTGGATGGCATTCTTTGATGTATCGCTGGGAAATGAGGATGGGAAAATTTGCTCTTAAGGAGCCTCTAGAACAATGAAGGGGGAATGAAAGAGTCGAGGTTTCACACTAAGTAATGAATACTTTTTCATTAAGTTCGATTGCAATAGAACTTATTAAGATAATGATAGGTGAATAAAGTTTCTAATGTCAAATTAGGTTCATTTACTTTAAGTCATGTAGAGGGCACCATAAGTTTTAAATATCATAATTGACCTTTTATCAGAATTGGCAAAAGTGATATGTGGGTCGTAATAACCATATTATATATATATATATATATAATATATATATAACTATATATATAATATAATATTATATATATAATGAACCTGATTAAATGCATGTATCTACTTACATACACTAAGGAGATGGTGAGAAGATTTTAGCCAAAATCTAGTAACTTGGAGGAAGTAGGAAACTTTAGTGCAGGTTTACGCGTGTAGTTTTCCGTTGTTTCTTTTCATTGTCAATATCATTCTTTCATTTGAGAGCACTTTTTTCAAAAACTTAAGCAATTCCATGCAAAATTTAATGTGTGGTCGGATGAAACTAGAAAAAAGAAGTTGTTCGGACTTCGGAGGATACTTCGTTATATTTTCTTTCTAGCATGCTGTTATGTTTTCCTGATATGAAATTTTAATCAGTTTCTGGAACTGGAGCTTATTTGGTTAGTCTTTTTCTTCTGCTGATGTTCAAACATCCACTATACTATAATTTTAAATGCACGGAAAAGTCACAATGTATACCACCATTCACCAACTTAGGCGTGGTGCCCGGCCTTGCATGCAAGCCTGAAAAAATCACTTGCCCAAATTTTTGTCCATCTTTGTGATGAATGAAAGTACTTGATACACGACAACTAGATAGAAAACCAAAACGAGGAGCAACACAATGGCTCAGTAGAACTTTCTCGATTCAAATTTTTAGAAGCAAACACCAAAAGACCACAAAACAGACGAAGTTAGACAAAAACGTATACTAAAATAAAAATTAAAACAAACGACCATCAGAACAACAAACTAGTGGTCACCTCAACATGCAAAAAATAAAGTAGGTAGATAATAAGTGCTTAAAACATGCCAAACAAAGGTCCACCGCAACAACTTTGGCCCAACATCCACGCATAAGACTCCTCCGGCCAAATGCTTACCTAAACTGGCCAACACACTTTTCCAAGAGCTTCAAGAAGGAAGATACAAATGGGGTGGAAACTTGTGAAGAGAAGTAGTTAAGAAGCCCAAGCCGAAATCAAAATAATAGGAGAAGAGAAGGGAAATAGCTCGCAGCTTCTAAGAAGCAACCCTCAGATTTTTAGATTATGTTTACCTCACCAAAATTAGCTCCAAATGTCTCAATCTGCCACTAATATAGGACGAGGAGAGGGAACCAAATATCCCAAACAGCCGCTCCAATGAATCCAATCAGCAAGGGGAGGCAGAAGGCACCCAAAGGCAGCCAAGGGAGCATCACCCGAAAACCAGCAGGACACAACCATCGAACAACCACGCAAGGGGGAGAGAACGCGGTGGGAAGAACCGAAAGGCCAAAACAGAGGGGGAATGCCGGCCATCAATTTGATGAGCTAAAAAAGACAGCAGTTCACATAATGAGCTAAAAAAGGTAGCAAAACACAGCAGCACCCCAACTAGCAGCAAAACCCGAAACAACCAAGGCCAAACCAAGGAACCAAGTCAACCCAACAGCCATGGGCACACAAAGAAACTAAGCACACCCAGGCATTGCAAGTCCAAAAGCACAAACCTACCGCAATGATCATAGGGTTGCCTTCCATCATAGGGTAGGAAAAAAAAACATATAAATTTAGATTACAATATAAAAAATTAAATTGGCAATGCATCAGTACTTTCATTATGTTATTGCAAGAAAACTCGAAAACCACTAAATGAAATTTCACTTGGACTTTGCTTGATTTTATCTTATTTTAGACTGTTTTCAACTTTCCTGCGAATTTCTTCCTTTGATTCTTGATCCAATTTTTTTTAATCTATTGAACAGAAATTGTTTTTCTTGGTCAGCTTCATTTTTTCTTTTTTGAAATGTATCAAAAGTGACACATGCAGGCATTTAAAAGCATTGTAAGTTTTTAACAGCCACAATAACTTTCCCTTTCAGCTTGTAAAAACGGAAATAAGGGAATCCATGCTCAGAATTGGAGAATTCATTAATAAGTTTTTATTAGCCAAGTTATTAGTTGTATAGTTTAAATCAGTTGGATTAGTGCGCCTGGTAAGCATTCCCATCATGGGAATATTTACTCATTAGGAGGCAATGGCTTGATTGTTCTTAATATTTGTGAAGTCGTAAGAAAAGTTCCTTATATATTATCATTCATCCTCCTCAAAAAACATATTCTCTAAAACTCTCTCTTGGATCATTGTTTTGGGCATGCAGCTGTGGGAGGGACTTTGAGAAGATTGCTGATATCTAACAGAGGCAAGCAAAAGCTGTGCCCAGCAAGGGAGTTTACTACTTTTTTTTTAAGGTCTTTCTGTAATTTTTGTGATTTTGTGCCAGCTTTGAATTTATCAGGAGCATTGGATGAAAAGATAGCAGTTACCGAAGCAACTGAAGTTAGAACCAACTTTGGATGACTCCAACAAGAAGGCGGCAAGGCCGTGGTAGAGGCGCTCTAGCTCAGGCAGGGGTCGTGGTTCCAAGTCTAGTGATCAAATACGGTCGTGCCTTTCTTCAATCTGTTCACTATCGCAATGGCCATAATGAGATTGCATCACCAAAAGGTTTTTTTTATTTGCATTATTTAAATCATATTAATACCAAAAGTTACTGTTCCTTTTCTATTCTTGAAATTTTGAAGTATATTGTGGAAATAATGAATCATAAATTTTGAATGAGTAGTTAATTTATAGCACTTTGTTTATAGTTTTTCAGCCTAATTTTCCCTAAAATGGGTGTGGCATTTGCTGGTTGGGTGCTAGAGTAAATTGTGTCCATCTTAAATATTTTTTGAAGTTCATAGCTGCTATTTATAAAGTGCATATTTATATTATTTTCCTTCAGTAAGATGCTAGTCCTTTCATTGCAAATAATGTCTATTTGGGAGAAAGAAAATATATAATTTTCTGGATTCATAACACAAAAAAATGGTGCAATTATTTAAATAGGATATTTATTGTATCCTTACACATAATTACCTGATAACTTGCCAAAGCAAGCTTTGCTAAAACTAGATTCAAATTTGAATTTCGAACAATTGGAATATGGTCAAATAATTGTGATA